CGGTGTTAGAAATCAATCTTGACTTTTTCTTATATAATTACATGCACATCATGTAACTTTACTTTTATTGCCCCAATACTTGTTTATCATTTAATTATAAGTTTGATTATTGTACTCTTGCTTTTTTGTTATTTTTCCTTATTTGATCCTTTATCTAGACTGATACGCATTTATGGAGTTGTTCACATCTTTTGCAAATTTTCACTAATCTATCTTTACATTTGGGATTTTAATTTCATTCAATTTTATATTGTTTCTGATTTCGTTAGTTTCATTAATCATGTGCAGTTTATTCCTAGATACTGCAATTTCTATTTTCAACGGATCTGAAGAAAAAAATTGTTAGAAATCGGTTGGAGCCTTTGAACGGAAAAAGAATTGATCAATCGCTTTGGCATATGACTGAATTCAAATGTGATTTATTAATTCTTTCTCTATCCGAGATCTCTGAACAATTTTTAATGGACACAAAGTTTAAGATACTTCGTCATTCAAGATACGCAAAAATGCATAACATACATATGATTAAAAATGAATTGATCACTTGTCACAATTAAGTTAAGATCTCACTTTCTGTGAGCAATACTTCTGAAAGCAATACTTTCATTGAATTATGTTATTACAGAAATGGTCATATCCGACAAGTACGAAAAATTATACTGCTAATGAGTACCTGTGGATAACACTTTCTAAAGCTTAAGCGGCGCGAGCGGCATATAATCGGAAAGATTATATTCTCCATGCGGCAATAATTAAAACCTGATTGCCACATCGTCGTTGATAGATGCTCGCGAACAGGACAAATTATGATAATAAAATTGTCAACGCGTCTCGATCTCTCCGTTTTGAGAACACCAATTATTTATTACGCTCGTAATATTCATGCGCACGATCGTACTGCTGGAAGCATGCATTCGATGATTGGTCGATGAAATAATTTGTATATTGCGCCACAGGGGAAAACGCTAATGTGACGCGCACAAGTCGGCTGATAATTAATCCAAAATGGCGATCTGCGGTAAAAAAAACACATTTACGATGGATAATGAACCGCGTCGGGCGCCGCCGGTCAAGTATGCAAAGCGAATAACACGTTCGACTTATGCGACTGTCGGTTGCAGAAGGCAGAAAGGTGCCCGATCGGCCAATCACAATCGTCGCGGTGCACGGTGCACAATATACCGATCGACACGTTGATTGGTCAACCGAACGACACCGGTGTCGCGAGGGTTGTGTCTTTCCACATACAGACTCTACTGTCATTTAATGAACGTCCTCCGGGGATATTTCGAAGCGCAATCGAACCGCTGTCCTCGAACTGTGACACCTCTAAGATTGTTGTCGCAGCCTCAGGTCTTTTGATCTTTGCAAGTAGCAATTAACCCTACGCGGTTAAATTAAAAAAAATATAGAATTTCTACACAGGATGTATTAAAAGTATCTTTCAATTTTAACGATAGATATTGCAGGATAGATAAGCAATCTTGATTTTTCTTTAATTGAAATGTCGATATATTAATATTTTTCGAGCTGTAAACGTTTAAGAAAACGAAACATTATTTTGTGAACAGTTAAATAATTTATACACGAAAAGAACGATTTTGTTGAAATATTTAAAAATTTAGTTAGATTTGAAAAATTTCAAACTATCAAAATTATTGTATACAGAAAACTCCAGCGTAATGAGCAACGCTACAAACAATTTTAATATTCTAGCAATCAAATTGAGCGCTTTATATAATTATTTTGATAATTCATTAAAATTATGTTCAGATCTGTATCTAGCTAAATTTTTAAAAACACTACAGCAAAATTGTTCTTTCCATGAAAAATTATTATTTACAATTTGACCCCCAATATGTATATATAATGTAATATAGGTAAAGAAATAAGATGATCAGAAGTATAACGGAAACCGTGCATTCTAGTTCAATAAAGGTTCATCAAAGTGTTCTTCGTAATAGATCGTTGCGATCGTAAAAGGCGCAAGATCTGTGACGATCGGCGGAGGTTAGGCCTTCTTGCGAGCGGTTTGACGTTCTTCTCGCAACATCCTAACGACTTTCCAAGCAACAAGAAGTAGACTGCGCCAAGTAAAATCACGCATACGCTCCGGGAAGTCTCGGCATTGTTTTAGAAGAAAATACGCTGGCGAAGTCACGGTGATTAGACGCCGCAAGGTGTGGAGGATCGGGATCGATGGATTCCTGGAAAGAGCGAGCGTAGGTGTAAAAATGCCTCGGTGGGCAATCGTCACGGTCGGTTCGCCACATTCTGTCCGGCCGGACATCCCGCGGTGAGGGAGGTGATGGCTCCTCCACGCATACATATATAAGCACATGTATGATAAACGTATGAAGCGTGGAACCGTTGTGGTGGTTCCGTCGGCATCAGAAGCAGGAGGAACCGTCCGGATTGCGTCGCTCGCCGTCCCCCCGCAGCGTTAGGAACAGCACGCTCGTCGGGAGCGGCGAATTCCGCACGCAATTATCCTGACGCGACATTTGTTAGGGTCCTGTCGCCCGGTTGGAGTCCCGGTCTCGACGAAGGATAACAGAGTCTTAGAACAGAGCGCGGGTTCATTCGTTCTTGTCGCGCCCGCGCCGCCGAGTTACGAAGTCACGTTCCTAGAGTTCCTTAAGATTTGGTTTTGTCGACTCCCTTTACGACACGAAAAGCCGGTGGAGCAATATCTCACGACATCGGCACAGATAACGCGCGTGAAATCCGAATTGTTGCGCCTATTTCGGCGCGCTACTTCGAAACGAGAATTGGAACGGATGTAATCATGGAACAAAGTTTGGTTTCCAGAAACAACTGATGTAAATTCAATCTACGACGTGTACTATAAGGATAAGAACGCAATTGGCGACGGAGTAAAACCATCGCCTTTGCCGTCGCGAATGATATATCGTTGATTACGCTCACATCGATTGAATTTAATTACGGAAATACACCGGCACTTGCGACCGTTTCAACACGCGCGTCGTCGCGAGGAAGAAATACTGCGTATAGAAACGAAGGAGATCTAAGTGTGCCGTCGTCGCCACGATCGATGAATAATAAAACGCCCGAATGCCGGAGCGGTCGGGATGCCGCCGACTTGTCGTGCCCCCCATTCTCAATGCGACGTTGATAAATAATTATTGGAGTATAGACGTTAGGCATTTACAAGCAGGTGCGCATTCGAGAAGAGACGGTATTTCGCGACACCTGGTGCTGATTAACGAACGAAATCGTCGGCGCGAGCGAACGCGTAGCGACTTAAGCGGCCGGCTAAATTGCCGCGTTATTCCTGTAAACCGCGGCTATCCCCACGACTGTCCAATTACCGGACGAGGTGGCAAGTCGTCTCGTCCGGGGATACACGCGTTCCGCGCGCGCTCGCAGCGACTTGGAATCGTGGCGATTCCAAGTCTTCTTTTCTGCCGACGACGGCACCGTTAAGGACGGATAATGAGACGAGTCGCGAGATGGCCGAAGAAAGAGAGAAACTCTCGCGCGCGAACCCGTCGTATTATCGCAAGCTACCGTACAGCGTAGCGCGGTAGCGCAATTTCATATACAAAACCCAAGTGAACCCCGATGCGATGACCCCGAACCTCCATTAGATTTATACAGTTGCAATATTGCACGCCGCTCGCCATTCCAAGATGGACGGGTTGTTGCAGGCTCAGGCGAGACACTGTTCCGCGGCTTCTTTATCTTGAGCAACCGCAAACGTTTTGTTATCATTAATATTACTTATATTACATTCATCGCGATGATAAATGCTCAGAAATTATAAGCTACCATCGATCGAGGAGTCGCATGTGGATCATAGGTCGACATCACCGATAATCGATGGAGTCGCTTATTTTTTTCTTAATTATGCGTGCGTCCGGGATATAAGTGTTAAAACAAGTGTATTAATTAAAGCGCTTTCAATGGGAGTGATGCATCTCGGTTACGTGACACGATATTTACTCCGCCAATGGTACTTACGTGCTACCAGTATCGCAATGCACGCACGACGATGCTAATTATGCGGGAAATGTAAAAAAGGATACCGCGCGCCCGAGGAATATGAAACGAGCGATGAGAAGCAAGAAACGAGGCTATTCAATGATCAACGTCGGCATAATTTATCGCGCGAGACTTCTTATCTTTTGTTATTACGATCGATATATTCTTGTTAATTATTATCCTGAATTTATTTTATACTCTTTCGATGCTAATACTATCAATATGTCTTGTAATTATTAATATAACTGAATTATATATAAGGTGAGAATTAGTATATTATTATAATCTCATGTCGACTAAATGAAAAAAAAAGAAATTGCGAAAGAAAAATAAAAATAAATATGTTCTCATGCATACTAATCTGCATAATACATCTGTTTTTCTTATGTTAATATTAATCTTTCTAAATTCGAATTTATGCTACAAATTATTTCCATAACGTCATATTCGATTCTAATTTGAATAAAATTTTGGCATCGAGAGATCTTCACTTTTTGAACAATTCGAATCTAGATTCCATGACTTCTTCTTGGCAACGCGTGTCAAACAAAATAGCGCATCAATAATAACAGTTCAGTTATCTCCGGACAGGCATTGACGAGCAACATTCCATCCTCTCTTCCCAAAATCATATTTGGCATTTCAATATAACCGATTTTTATCGGTTATTAAATCTTCTTAGTGACTATTTTAACACACCGGCTTAAATGTGCCGTTTCCAAGTATACGCGTTCACCGAGTTCAAGTTATCTTAACGTCGTCGCACATTTCGGAAAGTTGCAAAGGAACCACCGCGACTATTCAGAAATCATCCTGCGCCAAATGATAAGCCGATCGCTGAAATTAACGTCGACGACGATCTTTGTGCGACTTTCGACCTGTCTGAGCTCTTCGAATGTGGCCTCTAAAATTCTGATGAGATCTGCTCGCGAGACAACACATAACGACATCTTGGAACATCTTCGAAAGATAGAAGAGGCAAAAAAGGGTGAAATATGACGAAGCCAAAGATGTCGGCCCTAGTGGCCTCTGCTATACGCAATTTGCGGGAAATTCGTGGTTCCACGTCGAAGGAAATCATGAATTACATTAAATCCCAATATACGGGGTCGGACTCCAACATACAAAAACAGGTAATTAACAGTTTACTTATTCATGTTTTTACATAAAAAGCATGTTGTTACGTATATTATTTTTATGATATTTCTATCAATATATTAATTTCTTATTCTAATCACAGAAGTAATTAATATATAATAATAATTAATTTTAATACATTAATATTTAAATTTTGAATTTTTTATTTTCCTAAATTTCAAAAGATATCGTAAAATTGAATTTGAATTTTGTTGCATCATATTACTTAAAGTACGGAAAATTTTACTGAAAAATGTAGATTAACGAACGTAGTAGAAAAGCGTTTGTTAATCATACAAGAAACGCTTTTTTTCGCAGATATTCGCTGCCTTGAAACGTGGCTTGGATTACGGTATCCTGAAGAGGGACCGTGGTTATTACAGCCTGAATACGGATCCTGAGATGATGTACAAAGCACATACCGTGACGCCCTTGGAGCAAGGCAGGAGACGAAGGCGAAGGAGGCGACGTGGTCGAGTGCGAGGGCGAAAACCAAGTCGCCGACGAGGTCGCAGGAGGAGGAGGAGGGGCGTAGGCAGAGCACGGGGCAGGGGCAGGGGCAGGGGCAGAGGCAGGGGCAGGGGCAGGAGGAGGAGGAGGGGAAGGAGAAGAAGCAGAAGCTCAAGGAGCAGAGGGGGAAGCCCGATTCGGACGAGGTCCCTCGCAGCAACCAGATGTGCCAAGTGCGCCACGTCCAGGAAGCGCACGGAAAACAACACCTTGAGAAATTCTCCGATGGAGAATCTCCGAAAGGACATGACTTATTTGTATAAGAAGGGTGTCCACAACCAGACGCCGTCCAGACATCAGAGTCGTAGTCAGGATCGAAGTCAGACGCGCAGCCGATCGAGTAGCAGCGACAAGGAGATGATTGACGACCAAAATCGCGATCAATCATGAACATCTACACACGAAAAGTACTGCGGATCTTACTTACTAATCCTTCGCAGTATATCGTCCATGTAAAATTGACAATTGAAGTTTTATACAAAATTAAAATTTTTTTTATTAGATACATGACAAAATACTATTATTATATTCTATATATTGTATATTATTTCGTACAATTCAATTTGGAATAGGAAGCAAATTTTATAATCTTTTAATCTTTTAAAAGGACTGCAAAGGATTAATTGTTCGACGCGGTGGTTGTCAATCAATGACGCGGAGATAACTCTGACGAATTTAGATTTTGTCTTATTTTGATGATAAATTACAGTGCTCCGAAATGTACGTCGACAGCGAACTTTGTTTTATAGTCTTCGACTTTTTACAAATTTTATATGTTTATTACACCTTTACACTGATTAATTATATAAACAAACTGTTATATCACCAATTGCTTTTATACTTATTTCAATTAATTCGATTATTTCTTTCTCATTCGCTGCTACAATTCTAGAAATGTGAAAATCCAGTCAATTATTTCCAAACTTGAATCAAGAGACAATCAGTGCTTTCTCTTCTTCGAAAAGCGAAATCACAAAGTTGCATTGACACGATTTTCAAATGCAAAGGATTTTTACGTGACGAGATCCTGCTGGAAATAGTTCAAATAAAGCTGATTGCTATAACTCTTGTCGCGACGAAGTCAGGTTAGAAAGGATCGAGAAGTGATTAGTAGCATTTACCAGTCTCGAGCGAGGAAGCAAAGGAGAGACACGGAACGAGAGAGAAAGACCCTGAAGAATCTGCCGATTCTCAGTACCGTTTAGATGTCCTGCGGTCACAATGCCGCCATCTAACTGCTCCCTATTCTCCGACAGGACTCTACCCCGGAGGTCGTCGATGTGACGCTAATACCGGAATCTATCATGCGATACTAATGCGATTCTAACGGTGACTCTTTCTATCCTAAGATCCTTCTATAGCCGGAGAACCGTTCGTCGTTCTTCCGTTCATAAGCGAAACTCTCTTTGGTGGTCCATCCAGAGTATTAATTTCGATATAAAAAGACATATTCAATCTAAAAATACTATCCTTATTGATTCATCTCTGTCTTCCTAACGCGATTATCATTAATTTTCGACAAAATTTACATGCAATGATAATTTCGTACGAACACAGACACTGAGAGAAAGGATTTTATTAATTTAGCAGGCAACCAGATCACTTTTAACCGGTGATCGGTAAATATGTGACAACAAATTTTGTTGTTGCTGCTATACTATAATCAATTATTAGTAACATAATCAATTATTAGAAGCAAACTATATAGAATCTAACCTATCTTTTGGATAGACTTTAGGCTCGTTTACATAGAAATCGTAGATGATTGTAGAATCTTAAGTCGTATGAAACCGACCAAGCACAATCAAATGTAAGGAGAATATTTGATTAGAATTAGAATTTCTTACGATTTAGGATCCTGCAATCGTTTATATATATATATATATATATAT